ATCTCTTCTATTTTTTACTGACTGGCTTCAGAGGCAAAAGAACTTCACCAGTCAGCCCTACCAGAAATTCTGGGCAGGCCAGATGGCAGGGTCCATGAATGGGAATGCCTGGCACTGGTATCCATGGAGGTGGCTCTGGAACCTATGTCCACGAAGGTAGGCCTGGATGGAGCTTGGGTCAGAGGATGTGAGCCTGGCACTTATATCTACTGGAGTAGGCCTGACATCAGGATTCAAGGGGGTGGGCCTGAGATCCACTGAAAAATCAGAAGCTCACTTCACTCTCTTTCCCCCATTGGAGAAATTCTGAGATGAGGGGATCTTTCTTGATACTGTATTGCATGGGTATCTCAGTTCAGATTCTGTTGCTCCGAGCAGAATACCTTAAACTGGGTAATTTATAAAGAAAGAAAATTTATTTTTTATAGTTATGAAAGCTAAGAAATCCAAAGTCAGGGGGCTACATCTGGTGAGAGACTTCTTGCTGGTCAGGACTCTTTGCAGAGTGCTGAGGTGGTGCAGGGCATCACATGGCTAGAGGGCTGAGTGTGTAATCTCAGGTGTCTCTTCCTGTTATAAAGCCACCAGTCCCATTCTCATAATAATGCATGATTCCATGAATGGATTAATCTATTTGTGAGGGTAGAGCTCTTATGACACATTCACCTTTTAAAGGCCTTACCTCTTTTTTTTTAACAAGTATGCAGATGCCATTTATTTGGTCCATAAGTATAGTATAGTCTTATTTGAGTTTTACAAAATATCAAATATAAATAACCTGAAACTGTAACAATACACAAAAACTGGCTTCTTACACAAACATACCAGGCAGTACAAGTTGAAAACTTGAGTAAATTAACATTGTTTTACATTAATATACATAGTGCCAGTTAACATTTAAAAACAAGATTCAATGCATAGCACTTGATGCTTTTTTGAATCTGTTTCAGACAGTTAAGAGTATGAAAATGGTTAGATCTAGGCTAAAAATAATTGTTCTTCTAGCCAAAAATAAAGGCATAATATTTATAACCAGGTATCAAATTTACTAAAGCACAATATTTTGAAACTATTAAATGATACCTAAAGATATTTACATTAAAAAGGCAACATGCATCATGTTTTGTTTCATCTCATGATTGGTTATGCACACACTTTGTTCAAAGGGTTTTAAAACGCTATTTCTACTTTCAATACAGCATATCATAATGTTTCTAACAGTTCTGGCAAAATGAATGCTTTCAAAGGCCTTACCTCTTAATACTACCACATTGAGAATTAAATTTCAACATGAATTTTGGAGGGGACCAATATTCAAATCATAGCAAACCACTGGGCTTTTGGGAGGAGTGATATGGGTAAACTTAAAATTGTGCTTTCTATTGTCTTCACTATGTCTTTTTCATTTCTGTGCTTCACCTGGGTTTTATAATTTTTCACATAGATTCTGGAGTTCTGTTGAAGGTATTGTGATCGAAGGATAGTTGTCAAATTGGATTGTTGTCTTTAGGAGAACAAGGCTGGAACCGCTTATTTACAATATTGCTGATGTCATTCTTCTAAATAGTACTATTTTAAAACTGATCTTTTTATATTAACACTTTGTTTTAAGATCTTTTCAACTTATTTCTAGAAGCCTTTTTTTTTTTTTGAGATTCTTGGGGACATGTGCTATAAGCAATTATGACTTCTACAAAGATTGTTTTATTTCTTGCTTTACAATCTCTATACATTTAGTTTTTAAGAATCTTGCCTTATCACTTGAGGTAAGATATCCAGTACAATATTGAATGAGCTTGGTGATAACAGAGATATTTGTATTGTTTCTGATCTTAGGAGAAAATGGTTCGGTCTTCCAGTGTTTGGTATGATATTAACTATAGGCGTTTTGGTAAATGTCCTATATTAGGTTTGGAAAGTTATCTTCTATTCCTAGTTTACTGAAGGTTTTTAATAATGAATTAATGTTGCATTTTTTTCACATGCTTTCTCTGCACCTATTTAAATAATAAGTGATAATACATTAACAAATAAATAAGTCACTGTGGTTGAAAACTAAAGTACAGATTTAGAAAATAAACTTTAATTATTAGAAGTTCAGGTCCACTTTGGAGGGCATAATGATTGCTGTCCTTTATCTTCTCTCTCTCTTTCTCAGAGCTTCTGAATATATGATCTTCAAAACAAAGGCAATGAAATGAGACATTTTAAAATCTCTATGTTATTTATCAACTAATACAGAAATTAATTACTTGCAATGATTAGTCACTCAGCATGTACTTTTTGAACAGATGTAGTGTTCTAGGCAATGGAATTTTATGGAAAAGCTAACAGTGTACATGACACAACCTCTTCCCTTTAGAAGCTAATGGTGTAGTTTGAGAGACTGACAAAAAAATGGCTCAATTTCAGTAGAATATGTTAAATACCAAGATAAGAGTTAACAAAAGAGCTATAAGAAAAAGCAAAGAGAACTAATTAAGGCTTAGGGGGTCAAAGATGGCTTCCTGGAGAGAGTGGGAGATATAAACAGAACATTACTATTTCCTTATGCTATTTGTATAAAATCTGTTATTTGCCTCTTCATAAAGGTCATTGAGCTTCATAATGGGATTTTGATGAGTTAATATAAGTTTAAGTTTTATAAAAAGAATGGAGGGTTTTAAAAATATTAATTATAAACATTGTATTTTCCTTCAATTTGTCTATAAAGTAACTGAATCTTATAGATTTTCATTACTTCCATGTTTTTAGTATTTTAAATAAATAAGTTTTTTTTTTTTTTGAGACAGGGTCTTGCTCTGTCACCCAGGCTGGAGTGCAGTAGCATGATCATAGCTCATATAACCTCAAATTCCTGGGCTCAGGGGATCCTCCTGCCTCAATCTCCCAAATAAGACTATAGGCGTGCACCACTAAGCCTACCTATTTGTTTTAAAGAGACAGAGTTACACTATATTGCCCAGACTGGTCTCAAACTTCTAGGCACAGGAATTACAGATGTGAGCCACCATGTGCAGACATATTTTTCTTATAAAAGCAATATACATTCACTATATATAATTTTAAAAACTCAAAAATTGTAGAAATAAAATAAAATTCTTAATTTTATTCTCTAACTGTAACTAATATGAATATTTGCTATATCTTTCTTATGCATTGATATATAAAGTTGGTGATACAGTAATTTTAACTTGCTTTATCCATTACCTACATAATATATATTTCTTATATCATTTAATGTGCTATACATAAAATGAAAATTTGATGATTATAGATATCTAGCATATGGATATCTCATAATTTATTTTATCAAACTTCAGTTATTGGGCACTAAAGTTGTTTCTCTTTTTATATTTATAACATCATGGTGATTAGTATTGGAGAATTAAATCTGTACGTGTATTTTTCTTTCTCAGTAAAATTCTTAGAAGTTTAGTAAAAAAATACAAATATTTTATCTTGCGTAATTGTGAAATTTCTCCCCAGAAAAAAACTATATTGATGCATTATTTTCCCAGAAGCTATGCCAGTAATTAACATCTTCTAATTTTGACACATCTTTATTGATAACAGTTATTACAAATTTTAAAAATTGCCAGGTTTTGTGTGTTGTTTTTGTTTTGGTAAAAAGCAGATTTTATTGTTTAAATTTGTATTGTTCTGATTATTACAGTTTTCTGGAATTTGGCAGGGAAAACTAAAATGTATAATAATAAAGTAATGCTACCGAGTTTAATCTGTTACTTGTGGGAATTTGTCCCATAATATTATAGTTATACTACTATTTTCACATACCATTGTGTAATTATTAAAACCTTAATTATTTGTATAATGCTTTTATGTTAACATCCTGCATATGGAATTACAATGATGAACTATTTATTATTAAAAAAAATCTTAATTAAACTCTTTAACTACTAGAAACATGAAAGGGATTGTATTTCTGGAAAAACAGTTTTTCTAAGCTACAAAAATATATTTTGAATGGAAATATCTTGAATTGTACCTAAAACTCTACAAATAAATAATACATTTTTAAATATTGGTATATACTAGTAGTAATATAATATTAAAACATATTAAATAGAGAACCAGAAATTTAGTTCTGATATAACATAATTACTCCATAAAACATGCATTATGCCAGACTTCCTACATTGAGCATTACAAAAAAGCTTCACTGCTTTGGGCAGTGGCTTGATTTATTGTTAATAATATATTCTGACACAACCCAAAATGTGGATCATTAGGCATAATTTTATAGAAAGCGTCTAAATAGACTGAAATGATATTGGAAAGAAAAACAGAGCCATGATTCTGCCCAACCGTGGTACTGCACCGTTATGGAGCAATTTCTCCTTGGATTGCACACCTGCTTTCTGGCCCATTAAGTCCTGCTGTCTTTACAAGGAACTGAGGTTGTAATGTCTTTCCCCAATGCATTTTTTTATGGGACCATGCATAACAAATACATATAAAGTACATAGGAATGAACATGCTGCCAACCTCATTTTTAATATGCTCAATCTGACTAGGACAGGAAAATATTTACCTTAGACAATAAATCTCTTAATTGCTTAAAGCTCTGTAGCAGTTATTTCCTGACAAGTATTGCAAGAATTCCCTGTAGCTGTATGGAATTATTATTCTGTTCACTTATACATTCCTAGAAACATGATCTGATATCATTTTTCATATAGAAGTGGTATTTAGGAATAATAATGTGCACATCAGATCCGATTTTATTTTTATGCACATCAAAATTCCACTGTGCCAAGCCCCTGCAGTCGCCTATCATTAAAGTAATTTCAGTTAGCTATATCTCCCCTTTCACTGATGTGCACAGACCACTTCTTAATGATGTTTTCATGGTTTGCAGAACATATCAAGAGTTAGCTAAGAAATTACTTCAACAGTAGACTTCTATTGGGAATGTCAATGAGCTAAGAGTATTTTGACCACATTTTCTGCATTCCTGAGTTTTATTTTATTTGCAGGATTTACGAAGTTCGAAGTAAAAGAAGCAGTGATCTGTACCCGATGGAACAATAGTCTTGTTGGGGAGGCAACAAGCTGTGATGAAATTATAAAATTGGGTTCTTGAGCTCTGAAATTTAATCTGGAACCCAAACTGCAATTTTTCTGATCTTTAAATCTTAAAATCTACAAAAATTTTAAAAGGTACTGTTATCATATTTCTTTCACTATGAATACATATATTAAATGTTTTATACTATCTTGACTCATTAAGTCAACTAAAAGTCAAATAAAATTGTCTTGGGTGGCTAATTAAGGTCAAAATGGTCAACTCATTTTTTTGGATGAAAATATAATAATTATAGTTATATTTGAAATTTTTAAATGATAATATTTCTTAAAATAGCATATGTAAACCTATTTAATTTTATCTCAATATTTTAAAAAAATACTGAAAAGGGATAAAGTATACCTCAAAAGCCTATTCTCCAATTCCTAGGAGAAAATGATATTTCATGAAAGGGAATAATTGGCAATTCCAATTTCTGATTTAACTTTAAAGAGAACAACCTTTTAAATATTATTATTTTGAGTTTTTGTTTAATGGTAGTAATTTCAAAGAAATAACCAGAAACATCTTGGGAAATATAGATGTCATAATGACCAGAAAATAATCTGAATGCCACTTTTTTCACCTTGCTATGTATTTTATTCAGTTTATTCCTTTTCTTGTGTTTTCTAACAATATATTCTCTCCAGATTTTGTGAATTTCAGATTATTATTTCAAGGCAGCAGGAGAAAAGAAAGCAAGCTCTTTTCAAGGACAGAGTCAAGGTACCTAAGGGAAAATCAACCAGACAAAGAACAACCATCTGCTCTGTTTCCCACGAAAATGTAAAAACATGTTATCTCACAGGAAAGGAAACATAAAAAAGTTCTTAAAATGAAATAGGTCCAACTTCAATAAATAGTTCTATTATTTAGTTTACATTTTCCCATGGTTATTTCAATATAGTAGTTGACTTAATTAAATATGCTAAGTCCTTCACATCTCTTCATTACAGTTGTCACCTGTAAAGTCATTTAGGGGGAAGTTTTGAATGAGAAGAAAAGGAATTATCTGCATGATTCAACAAAAGTGAAGTGAGTAGCAAGGACATCCTTTGTCTAAAGCTTTTATCACATAATCCTAGTGAGTTTTTAAATTACATAATATCTCGGTCGGCACACTGACTCTCAGAAAGGATTTCCAAAAAATGCTTTGTGCTTGAACTTGGCAGAGTATCTGACTGTATACACTATCAGAATTATGCTCTGTGTTGCAGAATCAAATTTTATGGGATTTATTTGATTATTTGTTGTTTATAAATTATATCAAACTACTTGGAAAGTGAAAATTCTAATGTTAGTTAATTTCTTGATCCATTTGACACTAAAACAGTTTTTTTTAACTGAACCTTCCGAAAATATTGTTTTTGCATACCACTGATTCTCAATTCTAATTTTACAAAATTCACAGATATCTATCTAAAATTCCCAAAGAATTGATTTTAATGTAATGTATTTAAAATATAGCATATACAACTTTTGCAGAAAATAAGAGACTGAAATTATTCAAACATTTTGGTGGTGGGTGCAGAGATTGCTATTGGTTATTGAGGAATAAATTGCTGTCGAAAGATTACATATTTATTTAATTTAATCTTTTGACAATCCTGTGAAATATTATTGTTATCCTATGTATTTTCTCAGACAAGGTGCTTAAGATTCAGGGAAGTTATAATTTATCCAACATTCCACACCTCTGATCTAAATCCAAAACACATTGACTCCCACACCTGTGTTGCTAGTGAGGAATAAGGGGAATGGGAAAATCCATAGTGTGAAGATATAAAACTATTAATAACACTTAGACTGGGTTATAGAAAAAATTTGATTGGTTTAGTAATAATTTTTCTATCTTGTTGTTTTTCACTTTATGTCAAATGTATTAACTGAATGCACAAAGCAAATAGCTTCTAATCATCAAGCTGTTACTCACTCACATATTCATTTCACTAAGAAGGGCATTTGAGTTTTCTGGGCCAGGAAGCAGTATACTGATGAAAAGCTTTAGCTCAAGAGTCAGCAAGGTCAGACTCCAAACCTGGCTCCAGAGCTTACTAGTTGTGTTAAGATGTCTTACTTTTAACTTCTCTCAGTGACAATTCCTTCATCTATATGTGAGAATAATAATCAGATGTATAAAGTAGATGTGAAAAATGGAAATAGATAATATTTCTGGTTAAGAATAAATTCAATTTTGGATCTCTTAACAGAGCTGCAAAAATTTAAACTCACTTGGATGAAATCTCTATATAGCTTCATCTCCTTTTTATTGTATATAATAATTTATGATGTCATGAGAAAGGAACAAAACAAAATAACATTGGGCAAAACAATGAAGATGTTTTCTAATGTGATATCCATTGTTTGTGGTTGTATACTGTACCATAGGAAAAAAAGAGTCACTGTAGGCCGGGCGCTGTGGCTCACGCCTGTAATCCTAGCTCTTGGGAGGCCGAGGCGGGCGGATTGCTCAAAGGTCAGGAGTTCGAAACCAGCCTGAGCAAGAGCGAGACCCCGTCTCTACTATAAATAGAAAGAAATTAATTGGCCACTTAAAATATATACAAAAAATTACCCGGGCATGGTGGCACATGCCTGTAGTCCCAGCTACTCGGGAGGCTGAGGCAGGAGGATTGCTTGAGCCCAGGAGATTGAGGTTGCTGCGAGTGAGGTTGACGCCATGGCACTCACTCTAGCCTGGACAACAAAGCGAGACTCTGTCTCAAAAAAAAAAAAAAAAAAAAAAAAAAAAAAAGAGTCACTGTTAATAAGGAATATATTATTAAAAACACAGTAGAAACCCCCAGGAAATCTCTGATTTTTCTTTTGATCAGAGTATCTCAGCTTTTTGACTGTTCTTCATAGTATGGACATCAGTAATAGAACTAAAATTGGCTTGTGGCAAATGTGGTGAACATTAATTGTCAGAACAATTCCACATGGCCTGGAAGTAGTTAGGCTATGAGAAAACCAGTTCCCAATTATCATGAATTTGTGATATACAAGGTCAACCATAACTTTAACCAATTCTATCCCAGTTGCTGTAATAAAAATATATTATATGTTTGCATATTCATTATGTGAACCCTATACTTAATATTTCTCAAAATGCATGATTACTTCACTTCCAACTTATAATATTAAATTTTTAAATAGATTTAATCAAATGTCACATTCAAAATAAATTAAAATAATCAAAGAAGAACTAACTAAATAAATGTTCATGAATAGGAAGACTCGATATTGTAAAGATGTCAGTTTTTTCCAACTTAATCTATATATTCAATGAAATCCCAATCAAAATCCCCATTAGATTTTGTGTGAATATTGACATACTGGTTTTTAAAGTTTATAGGAGAGGCAAAAAGACTCAGTATAGCCAACACAATGTAGAGGAGAAGAACAAAGTCATAGGACTGATACTACCACACGTTAAGACTTACTATAAAGCTATGGTAATTAATACGATGTAGGATTGGTAAAAAACAAAAAAAGGCAAATTCATTAATGGAACAGAATAGAGAGCCCAGAAAGAGGTCCACATAGACAACTTGTCTTCAACAAAGGAGCAAAGGAAATCTAATGGAGAAAAGAATCCTTTAAACAAATAATGTTGGACAACTGGACATACACATGCAAAACAATAAAACTAGACATAGACCTTCCAGTCATCATAAAAATTAACTCATAATGGATCATAGACCTTAAAGTAACATGAAAAACTATGAAAGTCCTAAAAAATAATGTAGGAGAAAACCTAGATAACTTTTTAGGAACAACACCAAAGGCATGATTCCTGAAAAAAATAATTGATTAACACTTCTGCTTTGTGAAAGATACTAGCAAGAAAACGAGAAGATAAGCCACATACTGGGAGAAGACATTTGTAAAGACACATCTGGTAAAGGACTTTTCTCCAAAATATACAAAAAACTCTTAAAGCTCAACTATAAGAAAACCTATTTAAATTCAGTTAAAAATGGGCAAAAGACTTGAATAGACATCTTCCCAAAAAAGATACAGAGGGTAAGTAAGCATACGAAAAGATGCTCCACATCATATGTTATTAGATAAATGAAAATTAAAATAACAATGATATTCATTACATCAATGATATTCACTACATCTATTAGAATGACCAAAGTCCAGCAATATAAAATATTGGAGGGGATGTGAAGCAACAGGAATTATCATTCGCTGCTGGTGTTAATGCAAAATAGTATAATCACTTTGGAAAACAATTGACAATTTCTTATAAAACTAAACATACTCTTACTATATGATCCAGCAGTCACACTCCTTGGTACAATATCCTGGATAGAGCTGGAGCCCACTCTACTAAGTGAAGTATCACAAGAATGGAAAAACAAGCACCACATATACTCACCATCAAATTGGTATTAACTGACTTAATTGACCAACACTTAAGTGCACATATAGTAGCAACATTCATTGAGTATCTGGCAGGTGGGAAGGGGAGGAGGAAATGGCTATCCAATTCACACCTAATGGGTGCGGTACACACCATCTAGGGGACAGATATGCTTGAAGCTCTGATTCCGGCAGGGCAAAGGCAATGTATGTAACCTAAACATTTGTACCTCCATAATATGCTGAAATAAAGAAAATATTTACCCAAATGAACTGAAAACTTACGTCCACACCAAAATCTGCACATGGATGTTTACAGCAGCTTTATTCATAACTGTCAAACCTTAGAAGCAATGAAGACATTCTTGAGTAGGTAAATGGATAAATAAAGTGTAATACATTCAGACAATAGAATATTTTTAGTGCTAAAAAGAAATGAGCTCTCAAGCCATGAAAAGATGCGGAGGAATCCTACAGCATATTACTAAGTGAAAGAAGCCAGTATGAAAGGCTACGTACTGTATGATTCCAACTATATGACATTCTGGAAAAGGAAATCTGTGGAAACAGTAAAAATACCAGTGATTGCCAGAGGTCAGAGGAGAAGGAGCAATGAATAGGTGAAGCACAGATGATTTTAGGGCAGTGGAAGTATTCTGTATAATACTATAATAGAAGATATATGTCATCATACATTTGTCAAAACTTGTTCAAAGTACAACACAAGGAGTGAACTAATGGAAGCTGTGTACTGTGATGATAAGGACGTTCAATGAAGGTTCATCGATTATAGCAAATATACCACTCTGGGGCCAGATGTTGACGGTGAAGGAGGCTATGAGTGTGGGGGAGCAGGGAATATATGGGAACTCTGCAATCTTTTTGCTAACCTAAAACTGCTCTGAAAAATAAAGTTCATTCAAAAGGAAAAAATTAAGGATAACCAGAGAAATATTAATGTCTTAATGTAGAAATTCTACCTCTGTGTATTAGGTGTATTTGTATCAAATTATTTGTATTTATATTTTAAGCAGTTAGAAATTTTAATAAAAATAAATGGTTAATAAATATGTAAAAATATTCAAATTTACTAGTCATCTTGGCAATAAAGTACATTTACAATGAAATATATCTAAAGACTAAAATGAAAAATAAATAGTAATAAATTTTTGTAAGGATATGAAACAAAATTGTCAGAGACTGTTTTACCATTCAACCACTTTGGAAAACCATTTGGCAGGTCTACTAAGCTAAAGATATGCATGCCCTTTGACTACCCCCCAAAAAAACATAAACCATCATGGCCATAACAGCATTATCTTAATAGTCAAAATATGGAAACAACCTAGGTGTCCATCAGTAGTAGAAAAAATAAATAAATGGTGATATATTCACACCATAGAATACTACACAATGAAGATAAATAAATTTTAACTGCATGCAAGAATATGAATGACTCTCAC